ACTGATGAACAAGAACTCCACTCTTCCTTAAAGACTCGAACAAATCGAGACACTGCCCATATGTTTTCTGGTACTTTGTCGACCTCTCTCCCGGGCAGCATTTTTGCCACCTGTTATAATGGCATTCGACAAAAACCTCGTCAACCAAACAGATAGCCCCAGTTTCAAACAACCTTGGAATTAATTCAAATTCAGTCCCTTCCACATCCATCTTCATCACCACATAGTCTCTCTCGGAAAAAGAGTTTTTCAGCCAGTCAGCAAAGTCAAACCCTTGAATCTCATCAATATTGTCCGAGGATTTCGAGCCACCAGAGGATTGAACAGGCTGAATACGGCCCATTCCTCTGCCTTTTTCAACCTCCTTGTGGCCCGGGTCCTCGTTAATCTCGAAAAACAAAGACTCGTTTTTTACCCAGGCAGCATAGGGTAACAAAGTAACTCCCTTTTTGTTCTTATAGTCGGGGTAGAAGGTTTTATCAGCCTCAATTGCAAAAATCTCGAAAGTCTTGTTCTGTTTAGGGTACCCTTTTTTGAACCAACTCACGATGCTCGAGCCGTAGCTTCGTGCTCCCACATCGACATAAATGTAGCGAGACTTAAAACTAATGTCGACCATTGAAGGCAAGTACTTTATCTTCTGAGCATTCTTCTTTAGCGTGATCCAAGGCTTTTTCGGCTCTTCCTCGATCAAAGGCTCCGATTTCTTTATCAGCTCTTGTTTATAACTCGGAACGTTGCATTTATTAGCAGAATTACTGCTGGAATTTTCAGTAACTTGTTTTATACCAGCTTCCTCAGTGAACCTTTGCAGAACAATTTCCCGAACGAACGGCTTTTTGGAATTCAAACCATCAATATACCTACTTTTTACCAATTTACAGAAATTGAACAAACTGAGTAAAGATTCGAAACTATACGTGTCGTTAGCCATAGTATGGATGATCAGAAACCCTTCGGGCTTTAGTGTCCGATCAACCTCAGCCACGAAATCAGCCCGCCTTGCCGATTTTTCCACCACTCCAACTCCACAGAATACGAGATCGAACGTTTTACTGCTAAACGGCTGCTTGAAACCCTGCCCCTGTAATACCAGCGGCTTGAAACCTTTCTTGGAGATGCCAATTGAGTCCTCCACGCCGATCTCCCTCAGGGCGAACACGTCAGCTCCGGTCTGCGTGTCCACGCACAGGGTCTTGAAGCTCGGGCTCAGAACAGCATCGGATATTAGATCTTGAAACACGGACGAGTAGAACTGAACGGATTTCTGGAAATTCTTTGTCGTCCACAGATCGGGGATCTTCTTCGGAGCGGCCGGGGCGGAGTTACCGGACGAAGATACGGCCGCCGCCGAGGAGGGTTTCGCCAGCTGACCCACCCCGGCGACGACGTTGAGATTCTCCGGAAGGGCGGAGAAGAAGCAGAAATCGCCGACGTCGCACGATTCGCCCCGCAGCGTGACCACATACGCGAATCTGAGGGCGATTATCAGCACGCAGAAGAGGAAGAGGCGCACAAGGATATTCCGCAGGAAGCTCGGCTTTCCACCACCGGGCTCCATGAACGGGGGAGAAAAAGAAAAAAAACTATCAAAGGTATGAACAAAATCAAAAGAATTAAAGAATGGATTTTTCTCCTATGGGTAATCTATAACAGTATATCTAACCCTAAAACACCAAAAAAAAAAGGGGAAAAAATCGGGGGATCGGGCCGAATTGTACAGTTATCGGGAGCAAAAACGGGCCGAGGTGTGATTAGCTCCGACGAGAGAGCGAGCGGGGAGAGGGTAGGAGATGGGTAAATTGGAGGCGGAGACAGGGGCAAAACGGGAAATCATGCTTATATATTGGGCTGCGAAAGCGAAACTCACTCTCTATGAGCTGTCAAAAATCCTATTCATGGTGTTTTTTTTTGTCTGTAGTATATATCAGTGTTAATGGCTGTAAATGATTTTGCTCAGCTCGAAAATTAGCATAAAAAGTGTGTGTGTGTGTGAGAGAGAGAGAGAGAGAGAGAGTTAAGGTCTGAGCTTTTTTGAGGTTGAAGATATTGAAAAAAGGAAACGGAAGTAACGTGGAGAAGACGATGAAGCGGGGTGGGCTACCGGGAGAGCCGGTTGGCTGTGGAGGTAATGGGTAATGATCACATGTGGCGGCATGCTGCGGCATGCGTGGCCCTAATACTTAGGTAGAGTGCTAGTACTTAGGTAGAGTATTAATATTTAATTGTTTCATAATTGTGCAATTAAAACTATTTCCCTAAATTATTGGGAGACATCCTATATGATTATGCTTTTTTTGATGGCGTGGATATGGGTTTATTGTAATTTTTGCCACATTAAACGCATTACTTTCCTTTGGTACAGGAGTGAGTAAATAGTCAAATTTGAATATAATTTGCTTTTAGACTCCTTTATTCGGTGAAGTAGTATAAATTTACTAAATGGTTTAATATAAAAAATATAGCATCACGTGGGATATATGAAATGTTGCTTGCTCTATGTCGTATCATTGAACGAGTCATTTGTGAGTTCGATTCCGCTTGTTTAAAACTCATTCTTTAATATTCGAAAGCAACAAATTTGTATGAACTTTTATTATCAACTTGTTATTTGCATCTGACTCGTTAAAAATCGAATTTGACTTGTTAATGTTGATAAAAAATAAATAATCGAGCTCGAATTTGTTTAGTTAGCGAGTCAATCGACTAGGCTAATTAACACCCTTATTCTTATTCATTTAATAAATACATTTTTTTTACTTAAAAGATGCAAATAAATTACATTAGGCACCTCCAATGAGATTTATTTTAATAAATAATAGTAGTAAAGGTTTATCTGGGAATGGGAATGATGCTTGCACCTTGAATATAGGTAAATCCACATTTATTAATTCTATGTAACAATCTCTTTAACGATTTTTTGGGAAAACGTAATAGCATGTGAGGAAATATTTTTTCCCTAATGAGATTAACAAATTAGAAATCACATACAACCTCCAAATGACAAAAATTCAGAACAAGTTCGATATTCTACCGATTTTTAAGGATAAAAAATTATGGCTAACCTTATAAACC